TAAGATCCCTTTCATTTCCAGAGTCCACTGAGCTTGTTCCCAGAGTCGCAGGTCTCATGATCACAGGGGCCTGACTTCAGACCCACTGCAAGCTCAGAGCCCCAGCACCATCTTCTCAATGAAATACCTGCGGAGAGCCTGCAGTGTGGCAGGACCTGCGCTGGGTGCTGGGTGAGCACCGGTGAGTAAACAGACATAGTCTCTGCTGAGCTTACAGCCTGGCCAGGGACACAGACATCAAAGAGCCAGGAAACGGAGATTCCACCATTGATGACTCGTGTGCAATGAGGGAGTAAAACTGGGCCAGTAGAAGTGGGGTCTGAGAGCAAGGGACTCTGCCTAAGGATGTGACAGGCTTGGATCTGCAGGGTGGAGGGCAGTTATTCCAGCATGTGCGTTACCCGATAGGGCCAAGGCCCCAGGCAGGAAGGAGTTTGACACATATGGGGATCAGAAAGAGTCCACAGAGCCTGGAGGGCAGACAAGAGAGAGTGAAATGAAATGGGGCGAAAGGCAAAAGGCGGGGGGCTGGACTATGCATGGCCTCGTGGGCCATGTTAGGAGTTTCAGCTTTATTCTAAGAGCAGAGAATTGCACTCCTGGAGAGCTTGAAGCAGAAAATGGCAGGACCAGATGCACTTTCGTGAAAGATCTGACTGCTCTGTGGAGGGCTGAGGTCAGGTTCAGGTGCGGAGAGCCCAGTTACGTGATTATTGTTGTAAGCTAGAGATGAGGGTTATTGCTGCTGTGGTGGAAAGAAGTGGGGAGATTCAAGAAATAATTAAATACCAGCACCATTAGGGCATGGGGGCTGACTGGAAGTAAAAGGGAAGTGTCCAAGGTTCCCAGGCCTCAGGCCAAGGGCAGCTGGATAGAATTAGTGCCATTCATAAACTAAGAGACACAGGAGGACGGCCAGGTGTGCAGGAGGGTCATGAGCTCAGTTTTAGACGGTTTCATTTAAAGAAAGGCTCCTGAAAGATCCAGGCAGTTGAGCAGGCAGTTGGAGAGTTCAGTCTGGAGTTTAGAAGAAATATTTAATCTAACGTGCAATAAGTGAAGGGCATCTGGCAGCAGGCCGCAAGAGGAGAAGAGGGCACAGAACTGACATTTATTACCTGGAACATCAGAGGATGAGAAGCTGGGGAAGGGCACTGCAGGAGGGGCCGGTGAGGCAGAAAGAAAACCCAAGTATGGCATTGTGTGCGCCAAGAGGAGGGTGCTCCCTTCTGTGGATGGACCTGCAAGAGCAGCCATAAGGGAACTGGAAAGTGAACTCTGGATTTAGTGACCCTGGCCTTGGTGATAAATGCATGTGGAGCCGGGGACAGGCATCGGGCACAGTTCAGGAGTGGCTAGGAGAGGAAAGTGGAGACGTGAACGTAGAGAGAGACTCCTCCAAGGGGTCTGGCTGTGAAGATCGGAAGACAGAGGAGGGTGGCCGGACGGTACATAGGAACCAAGCCGGGATTTCATGACATGGAGATTTATGGAAAGAATCCCATCGAGAAGGGGCGGGTGATGAGCCAGAACAGGAAGGCAATAACTGATGACTTTAGGTTCCTGAGGAAGCTTGTAAGGACAAGATCCAGGACACAGGTGAAGCTCTGGCCTCGGTCAAGTGGACAAACTCTTTGTCCACAGGAATCGGGAGAGCAGGGAAGAAAGATGCGATAGGAGGAAGTTAAGGCCATTCTAGGGGATGAATTTCTCAATAAATTAGGTGATGATTTTATTAGCTGAAAGTGAGAGCAATGGCGATCAGAGATTTAAGAAGAGGAAAACAGTGAGCTCGCTAGAGAAATGTCTTCAGCTGTGCCAGGCACAAGGGAGATGACCACAAACTAATGGCACCCACTGGGCCCGTTGTATGGTTTCCTCAGCAGCACTCAGTGTCCATGTGCGACAAGAGAAAGTAGGTAAACAGGTTCGTTCAGGGCTGGAAATTTCCAAATGGGAGGGAGGGAAACGGGGCAAAATAACTTACTTGAGACATGTTCAAGAGTTTAGTAGAAATGNAAGATGTGTTCAAGAGTTTAGTAGAAATGAGCCTGAGAAAAAGGGAGGGAGAGAAGTGAAGACAGAAGGGGTCAGGATGGGTAAAGAGGGTTAACTGAGTAATGGCCTCATGAGGCCAAGCAACAACAGACTGAGATAATACGGATGAATCCAGGTGACACAGCGCCCGAGATATAAAATGCATCCATACTTTCCAATGAACATCGTCACTGAGTGTAATTATCTTTAAATGTTGAATGAATGAGTGCACGAGTGACCAGGAAATGACTTCTGACACGATCACGAAAAACCTGGGAAACCAGGAAAACATTTCCTGAGCTCTGGTATGTGCCAGGCACTGTCCCAGATGCTAGGAACCTGACAATGAACAAAACAGATGTGGTATTCACCCCCGTGGGGCTTACACTTTCATGGGGGAAGATCACAAAGAATCGATCAATTAAATGAAAGTGGGAGAGAAGTGTACAAACTTGCTTGGATCCTCTATATTAGAAGCCACACGGCTGTGCACAATTCCCTGATTCATGCGAGTCCTGGTCAGAATGAAATGTCCCAAAAGATCAGTTGGACCACTGTGCTTGAGAAATATGTGTTGCCTAGTAACAACTGGCTATAATTTATGGAACATTTACCACGGGCCAGGCAGCACTTACCATAGGTAATATTACCTCCGTGTTCCAGATGACGACATTGCGTTCTAGGGAAATTACTGATCAAAGGCCACTTTGCTGGTTAGTGGTACAGACAGGATTCAAATCTAGCTGTGCATCAGCCTGACCTCTCTGTTCCATAACAGGCTCCCTCTTCTGGCCAGAGGATTAAATTTGGACAAATATGGTAGCATGAGAACTTCGTTGCAGAAACCCACCAAAATTGCCGAGAACTGCCAGGTTTTGTTGGAAGTGTACCTGGGGAGCTTCCAACCCCAAAGCTGTCAGAAGGATGGAAAGAACTCATTCCCCGGGAAAAGCAAACACGGGATGAATGCTTCTCTTCTGCCCGAAGGCCCCACGTTCCGGGAAAGAGGTCAAGAGTCGATTCGTTGAATCTCTGGTGTCAAATAAACTGTGATTCTCTTGTTGTTGTTTGATATAGAGTTATGACTAGATGCTTTTCACATTTTTCACATTTTTGTGTGAGGTCCTAGGGCCACATCTGTCTTTACTTTCTTATAAAGCCCTAACTGTGCTTTGAATGAATACTATTTAATGTTAAGTTGAAACTGGCTTTTTCAGCTACTGGATATTTCTTTTCAATTCAGATTCATGTTCACCTTACTTTGAGTCCTTAAGATATTCTCAAACATATTTTGGCTAACCCAGCTTTGGAAAGACTCCTAGAAAATATTAAATCTTTAAGGGCCAAATCACCTAGGTTTAGGATACTTTGTGTAAGTCAAAGACTAAATGTTCAGAATAATTTAAAACAGCTTCATTCTGGCTTTTTCAAAAAGTGTGTAAATCTTGACTTTGGTACATTAAGACATTTAAAAAGTTTATGGGAATAAACAGTTCCAGATTTGTTCCAAGCAGGGGACCTGCGAGAGCACACGTGCATGCACACACACACGCTCATTTCAAGCGTGGAGATTAAAATAGGAAAAGCTCTTTCATTCTCTCACCAGCCACTCCTCAGCCAACCTAACAGCCCTTAAGAAAATCCATGAAGCCAGAAGGGTATCTTCAGAATAAAATATGAAAGCGGTCTGAACACCAGAGGTCAGGTAGAGAGACATTACTTATACATATATTTTAATTCATTTATTCTCCAAGGTGTATATGTGTGGGAAAGAAGGGGGGAAAGGTAGTCATTCCGTCATTCAATAGATAAAGCTAAATGCCAAGCACAGAGTTAAGTCCCACTGAAAAACACAGATGGGGGAGGGGGGAGGGGAGAAGAGGGGGGCCTGACACACGCTTCCCAGAGAAAGTGACTCTGAGGCTGAACTTAGCCAGGTGAACAGGGGCCAAGAGTAGGTCCAGGCAAGTTTTAAGGCCCTGAGAGCTTGAAGCACTTGGCGATGTCACAGGAGCCCAGCCAACGAAAGTAGAAACACTAATCTAGAGATGAGAGGTGACTCGAGAGAGGCTGCGATCAGGGAGGGTCTCAGCAGTCAGTGAGGAAGTTGGACTTCATCCCCAGTGGAAACCCACCAGGTGATAAGAAGGGGGTGACATGATCAGATGAGCAGTTTTCAGACATCACTTCAGCTGCAGTGAGGAGGCTGGAGGGGGCACACCTGGGCGCGGTCACTGCGGTGCTGGTGAGAGAGGACAATACCAGCCGGGACTGGGGCAGTGACCCCGATGGAAAGAGGACAGGCTTATGATTCTGAGGAAGCTGAACTAGCTGAATGTGGTAGTTGACTGGATGTGGAGAGTTAGGGGAAAGGGGCAAGGCAAGGATGCTCCCCAGGTTTCTGGCTGAGAAACTGAGTGGATGGTGACATCCTTGGGGCAGGTGGAGTTTGTGCAGATATATGACTCTGTTTTGAACATGCAGGGTCATACTGCTCATAGGAATCTCCTGTTGGGTCATTTTGGTTTCCATTATGGTGACTTCAAAAATAACATGAAGCATTGGATCCATTATTTTTACAATATGAATGTTTAAATATCTATCTCTATGTAACACAGTTTCAATTATTTGTCATATGGCTTCCTATACAATTTCACTGTTTTAACCAACATTGATAGGATTTGCAATAATTTTTTTAACTGCTCAAAGAAATAAAATCGATGGCTTTTGCCCAGTGAGCTTCCATTTTTATAAGGTGTTCGAGTGAAATGGTAGATGTCAGCAACAACACCTCACACTATTTAGTGAGGGAACGAAACCAAACCCTTGACCCAACATGTGTGTGTGCGTGTTAGTCTTACCTGAGGCGGGAGTCCTTGAAGGTGTCCAGGTACGCGGGGTAGCTCCATCCAATTTTATTCCCTTTACATCGAAGCTCGAGGGTCNACGTGTGTTAGTCTTACCTGAGGCGGGAGTCCTTGAAGGTGTCCAGGTACGCGGGGTAGCTCCATCCAATTTTATTCCCTTTACATCGAAGCTCGAGGGTCTGCCCAGCCGCCAGACTCAGGGTGGCGGCGGGTTTCTGGAAGCGACCTGCATCGGTCATCTGCATCATTATAGACTGACTCTTGGGCGGCGAGTCGGCCGAGTCCCTGTCCTTTGCTTTAGGAATCTTGGGCTTCACCTTTTTGTTGGCGGGCTTGATTCTATTCTCTCCGGGCTCCTTTGGACGCTTGTTCTTGGGAGGGTGTTGGCCAGTAACTAAGACAAAAGTGAGGAGAGAGCAATGGGCTGTAGGAGTAACACACCCAGAGTATTCACCACCCAGAACAGGTCACTTTTAATACCCCTCTCCTCCTAAGTCGAAAGTATTTTCAGTAATAATCACTATTTCCTTGGTTCATTATTTAGTTTTAAAACAACGACCGAAAAGGAATATATTTCAGCTTCAAATATTTTATTCAAGACATATTTCATGTGTGACCTAAAATCCCCACTTAGGAAATGAAAATGTTTTTCCTTGTAATTCACACTCTGTCTCACAATCTCTAGGGGCCACGTGGAATGGAAGAGCGGAAGCCACTCACAGGCCTTGCCTGCCTTTGCCATCGCAGGGTTTTCATTGTTCAGTCTGAATCTACTGTTTTTAAATTCTCATACATGGATATTTTTTCCATTGCTTTTCAGAGAGAGTGGAAGGGAGAGAGAGAGAGAGAGGGAGAGAAACATTGATGTGAGAGAGACACATCAATTGGTTGCCTTGAGCCTGCAACAAAGGTACATGCCCTTGGCCAGAATGATGAAACCTGGGACCCTTCAGTCCGCAGGCCAGTGCTCTACCCACTGAGCCAAACCAGCTAGTGCTCTTTTTTTCTTTTTGATGTACGTATTTATCAAATACTACCTGGGTGTGCAAAAGGTTTGGGGTGGTCAAATTACAAAGACATTGAAATTGGGAGCAAGGGATGGAAAAAGACAAGTGTTACAAGCTCTTCTGCCAGTGGGCCAAGTGAGTAACAAAACAAGGTGAGTCAGGTGGGTGGGAGAGGCCATGGCCTCTGAAGGAACATCTGCTCTTACTTCAGCTGGCTCTCCCTCCAGGGAGCGCACAGCCAGGGCTGCTGGATCCAATTTCTCAAAGGATGGCAGAAATGGTTTATAAATATCAGGAACCTGATTGTTTAGAAATCTCAGGTTTGAATCTCAGAGGTCAGAAGTCAGTGGTTTCCTTGGAGGGGTGGGGACTACCAGAAAGGGACACGAGGGGCATTGCCAGGAATGTCTTGTCTTGATCTGAGCTGGTACATGGGTGTGGGCACCCTGCAAGCATTCATGGAGCCATATCCTTATGATTTGTACCAAAAAATCAACTGATATGGACTCAACTGTGTAATGATGAACTTGGCTTCCTTTGCATGTTGCCTTTTGCCTTTTGAAATAGGGGCTATTTAGCCTCCATGTTTAGTTCAGCCTAGCCCATGCTCTGGACTCAATCCTATGTTAATATTAATATCATCTCCTCGGTATGATGCCTTGACTGGGCTTGGGTGCCTTGTCCCTGAGCCCTGCTCTCTGTTCCATGACTTTGGGTCCAGCTGTGACCTTGCTTCCTTCCCTAGGCCCGGGGCCCTTCTACGCTGGTTTCTACAAGCTCTCCTGAACTTTCTTAGTCCCTTCAGGGGGCAGAGCTCTGTTCTTGAGCCCAGTCTACAAGGAGAGTCCCCAGGACCTGCTGTTGAACTTGCCATTTACCAAGACTTTCCCTGGCCCTGCACGTGTGGTTTATTTACTCCTGGGGATCTAATGTCCGAGGGGGTGGGAGTGGCACACGTGCACACACGTGCACACAACTTGCCCAGCTTCCCAGAAGGAGAAGCATTGTAATCATTGAGAACATGTCAGACCAACACAAGTACCCTAATCCAACAGCACTGACTAAAAGCATGAGCCTGTGTTTTGCAACAGAGTAAAAGTCACAGTATTTTTCTGAAGGTAGAAAATAAGCCTTCTATGATGATGTCAAGTCATCTGTGCCTTTTAGTCATACTACACCTATGAGACTCATGGACTCTGTATTGATGTCTAATACTCTGTACTTCCTTTATCACATGGCAAGAATTCAAGCTATCAAAAACAACAATGGTCTGTAAAATGCTATGGAATTCAGGCAGCCAGCACAACTTGTCTGACTTATAAGCTACCAGATCCTTTGGGTTACCCTACTCAGGAACATTTGATTACATAATTATGAATATTATGCATCCAAATATGTGCTGTTATCCCTGCAAAGTAATTTAACCTTTTGACCAAACAGGCCCACCAGTCAATCTAGCTATATAGTTGGTCCAGCACTAAGTTAAAGAGTCAGGTGGGTGGTCCCACAGGCACCCAGAGAGTCCGAGGATTGAGTGACTCCCAAATCCCATGTCTACTTTTTAAAGAACATGACTCTTCAGCCTAACTATGTAAACTATTTCTCAAAGGCCTAAACATGCAAGAATTTATATTGCAGATAAATAAAAATGGAAGTCCATTACCACTGCATTTTTTGAGACCACTGTATTTTATAGAGAAATAGTGGGTAAAATTAAAAAAACATTAAATATCATTACTGACTTCAGGTCCTGGCTACCACTTAGTAGCTGTGTGACCTTCGGAAGTTACTTAGCCTCTCCTCTCTCTGCCTCAGATTCCTCATCTGTAAATTGAGAATTATATGGTAATAATGGCTATCTCAAGGATTGTGGTGGGGAATAAGTGATTTAATATTTTAAAATCCTGGGAACAGTGCCTGACCCACAGGAAGTGCCAGCTAGGTGCTCCTTGTTTTGTGTTTATCCCATGATGTCTCATGGTGATCTCCATGATAAATGCGTGATGGAGGCAAAAAATTGAGATCACAGAGGCCGAGTAGTTCACCCCAGGTCACCAAGAAGGTAGTGAAAAGCCAGACCCTTTGACTCCAGGTCCAGGCCTTCTCTGGTTCATGCGGTTGCCTTTCAATTCACATAGAGATTAACATACTGTAGCAATTTCACTCTGCTGGCACAAATCTCACACACAGCACCATTGTCTGAGTGGTTTCTTTGTTTGCTATGCCCTGGGCTTTGACAGTGAGTTCCAAGTCAAACAAAACCCGATGCTAGGGATGAGAGCACAACCTTTCCGGAAGGGCTGGAGATGCTTTTCCAAGGCACACATGAAACTCCCCAAGCGCGGAGGTGCCAGGCAAAACCCTGTCTCCAAGATGAATGAATAAATGTTACAAAGCAGGAAAAAGGACTGTGATTCTTCAGCATCAACTGAGGATTGCAGTGAACCCTTGCTCAGTGAAGGTGGCTTGGCTGTTTCCCTCTCTGATTCTCTAGAACTGTGTTGGAGGAGAAAACATATTCATTAGGAGAATCCCAGACAGCTGCCTAGATGAGGGCTACCCGTGAACAGTCATTAACATCACAGACCTGTGGCCGTTTGCTGTTCCTCCCCATGGGCAGTTAAGGGCAGAGGTTTGTCCTGAGAGGAGCATCAAAACCATCCCACTATGAACGTGCTGAGTAGCTCAGGGGCTGTGTAAACTGAGAGCCATGCCTCGCTCTCACTTTTCCATTCCAAAGGAGCACAGAGACTTTTCCAAGACCAAAGCTGAGCCGGTGGGAAAGCACTGACACGCAGGAGATGAAGGTGTAAAAAGACGGGAGCCTGTCCTTCCCGACTCCCTTCTAGAATCCCGCTCCAAATTACCCTCCTACCGTTTCTTAAAGTACCACTTTCTTAAAATAGCCATTCTAGGAATTAGATACTTCTACTCCAAGTTAAGAACTTACTTTGAAACATTTCTCAGAATATCCACGAGAACAGAGTTGATCACTCTTGCCGTTTTTAAAATTGAGGTCACTCACATATAGTATTATGCTTGTTTCAGGTGCACAACATAACGATTCGATATTTTTATACACACATTGGGCAGTGATCACTCTCTCGCTGAAACCCCCTTATTCGCTTGGCTCCCAGGACACGGCACTGTCTGGGATTTTCTGCTACACCACTGACAGCTCCTTCTCGGTGTGTTTGGCAGCCCTTCCTCTTCTTCGTTTTCCTGCCTGATCTAAGCCCCACCGCTAATGACACTCAACCTCTAAGTGGCCTCGCACGGTCCCCCGGGCGTCAGCAGCATTTATGTGCTGAGAGCTGCCTTGTTCCTGTCCTGATTTGCCTCTGAACTCCAGATCCCAATCGCTTACTCAGCACTGCCGCTTGGAAAGCTGGCCGGCAGCTCGAGCTCAACATGTCCATGCTGAACCCTGGAAGCCCTTCAGAACGTTCCTTCCCCAGTGTCCCTTTATCAGTAAATGACAATTCGATCACCCAGTTTCTCAGGACAGAAACCTCAGAGTCACACACGATTATCTTCTTTCTCTCCGAAGCCACGTCCAACCCAGTAGCAAATCCTCAAGGCTCTGCCTTCAAAATAGACCCTGAATTCAACTCTTTTCCTTCTATCCACTGTGACCACCCTGGACCAAGCCATTTTCACCTAGACCATTAAAACTGCCCCACATGCCCAGCCAGTGTTGCTTAGTGGTTGAGTGTCAATCCATGAACCAAGAGGTCACTGGTTCAATTCCTGGTCAGGGCACATGCCTGGGTTGTGAGCTCTGTCCCCAGAAGGGGGTGAGTAGGAGGCAGCCAATCGATGATGTTTCTGTCTCATAGATGTTTCTCTCTCTCTATCCCTCTCTCTTCCTCTCCCCCTAAAAATCAGTAAAAAAACATATTTAAAAAACAAAACGCCCCACATGTAGGCTCCTGGCTTCTACCCTAACACTTCGACCTTTAAAAATATAAATCAGATCATGGGCACGCCTCTGCTCGAGACTCTCCATGACTTTCATCTAATTTAGAGTAAAGCCCCAAGTCTTCCTGTGCCCTGCAGGGCTTTGCCATTTCCTGCCTCCTACCTCATGGTCCTTCAGCCACACTGACCGCCTGGAAGCTGCTGTGCCCGGGTGCCCTTGGCCTGTCTTCTTTCAGACACATACAGCATTTGCTTCCTCCCTCCAGGCAGGCCTCTGACTCTCCTCTCCTAACCGCACCCTCCCTCCCCTCCACAGCCTTCTCCATTCCTCTCACCCTGCGTTTGGGGGTGAATTGAGTTCTTGAAATGATACATTGAAGCCCTAACCCCCAGTACTGGTGAATGAGGCCTTATTTGGAAATAGGATCTTTGCAGATATAACCAAGTTAGGATGAGCTCATTAGGG